AATAATTTGAGTGTTTTGAAATGGTGAATGTATGAAAATGAAAGAATGAGTTGATTTTTGCTGCTAGCGATAGAAGTAGTAGTAGTAGTATAGAAGGAGCAGCATTCAGCATTTAGTGGTCGTCGTATTTCAGCGTATATCTCAGATTTCGAGTTGTCATCAATTGGTGGCTGGGGCGTAGGGGGTACGAATAGTCAGAGTGCGGCTCAGCCAGCCAGATCACAAACCGCCTCACAACAGCAACAGCAACAGCAACAAGGCCAACAACAGCAACAGCCCTCATCGCAATCCCAAAGCGTTCAGCAACAGCAACAACAACAACAACAAGGCGGTGGCGGCACCTCCCTGCCTCCAGCCACCTGTGGTGGTACTCCTGTGGCAGCACTGGGTTGTGGCACTCCAATCGCAGCCTGCAGTGATCCTCAACAATCATAAAAACAATTTTAGTCAATCGTCTCATCTCGTCTCGTCTCATCTCGTGCCGTTTATAAATGATATTATATACGACGTACGTATATTTGATCATATTGAATGAGTGCTTTATTCCTTACTTCATTGCTCTGTCATCTATCTTTTGTATTGGTTTTCATAATTAACGTGGATGATTGGTTTGTATCTGTCAGTGAGTAGAGTATATAGTGCTGCCTGCTTGTTTAGTGGTTGGCGCTGTTGTAATTAATTAATTAATTGATGATTAGATAGATTGTTTGCCTGGCTGGTTCGATTGTGATTTTTATTATTGTGGTGGTGATTTGATTTGTTTTGATTGGTGTTTTGTTTGATATTAGGTGATGTAGTATTGTCTGTCGTTTTGCTGATGCTGCTATTGCAACCTTAATCTCTTCTGCAGACAGGCTGGCAGGCAGGCAGGCAGATTCATTCATTCGATTTGACTTGTTTCATAGAAGAAACTAATTAATTAATAAAACAATGGAATCGTTTTGTATGAGGCGAGGTGAGGTGGTGGTGATGATGCATGGCGATTTATTTATATAAATAATATTCATTTGAATGGTGCTAGCTGGCTTGATTTCGTTGTTAATACTGTCGGTTGATTTCATGCTTACTTACTGCTGTGTAGGTTAAGTGTTCAGCTGGCTCTACAGTAGTAAGTAATAGTATAAGCGGGGGGGGGGGGGGGGGGGGGGGGGGGGGGGGGGGGGGGTTGGGGAAGGACGGCAGTGAAGTATTTAGAAATGAAGCCGTTGAATGAATCTAGCTGAATCTGAGTTTGTATCATCTCTCTTACTTGCACACGGATGGATAGATCACACTTTTGGAATGAATCTGATCTGATCTGCCGTGCCGTTAAGTTGAGTGTAAATGCTGAATGCGTATAATCTGGCTTATTATCTTCTGATGATATTTGAAAGTTTGAAATATGATGCCTGCTGATGTTCATCCACATATATCCAGTCCAATCCACTCATATGGATAATGGATGGATGGATGACTGTTGTGGCTTAGGCTTGAATAATGAAAACTTGATACATTGCTAGCGATTATTATTATTATTATTATTATAGTAGCAGTAAGTTGCGTGCGGGTGGTCGTTCCTCGTATAGTAACAATGAGCAATAGAGCTGGTTGATGCCGTTCTTTAAAAAGTAGTATCAGTTATAGTAATAATTATTAGTATTTTTATGATCATTGTTATAATAATAATTGTAATAATAATAATGATAATAATAATAATAATAATAATAATAATGAAGGCTTAAGTTGCTTGGCTGCTTTTTCTGATGCGTAGCTGATGGCTTTTGTTGATTGATCCGATTTGATGTGGACGTGTACAGAGCTTATGGGGTGTTTAAAAAGCTTGAATTACAGTCAGATAACTTGAATTATTAGTTGTGAATTGTAGAGGTTTGATTTTTTTTTTTTTTTTTGAGAAGCAGCTGCTAACACACTTTATGATTTCTTCAGCTGTTGATTGTGATCTTCTCTCTATGGTTGTTCGTCTCCTATCGTTTCGTTGTTTGCATTAATTAATTAATTAGTTAATTAATTAATTGAAATTTTTCGACTGCTGGTTTCTCACGGCTGCTTCCTTACTTGGTTTGTCTCGTGTGCTGTCGTCGTAGGTGGTGATTGGTTGGATGGATAGAAGAGGAGGAGAGCAAGGGCGGGCGGGGTGACCTGAAGTTGGATGATGGCTTAAAACTGAGTGCTGGAGTTGCAGCTGGATGGCTTGAAAGAATCTAGAGTAAATGAGTTGTTGATGATGATATGATGCATGATGATAGCAGCAGCGACAGCAGCACGGCAATATGCAACACCTTTTTCTTAATTAATTAATCAAGTAGTTGTTAATTAATGAAATAATGATCGCTTTCAGAAAGGAACACACAATCCAGAGCGCAGTTATCATCAAACTCATATACAACACAACGAAAGGCATCATCAAACGCGCTGGTCGCCCAAATGCATTTAGAACAACAGCAGCAGCAGCAACAACAACAACAACAGCAGTTATCAATGTCTGCAGCTAACTCGAATCAACCTCAGTTAACTTTTTTGACTGGTTAATAGACGACGATGACGACGAGCACGTTAATTGTCTGTTATAGGCGATTAGTAGTATTATTTTGGTGATTAACATGATTGTGTTAGTTATGATCAATAATTATTACTGGTTGATATGATTGATTGATCGGTTGATTCAACTTGATCTGATTAATTATTGATTTGTTGGATATTATTTGAGGGAGGTTCACTTGAGATTATTTGGATGATTTGTTGATGGTGGTAGAATGAAGAAGGGGGGTGAGCCATCATTAGGCTTTCGATGGGAGAGTCGAGTGGAGTGGTCGTAGCACTAGGTGAATCTTACAGAGGGGAATATTCAGTTGGATAGAAATGAGTTTAACTTTTGATTGGGAGCTTTGACTCACTTCTGCGATGGGTGAATTTGCACGGCAGTTGGAGTGTATAGGATCGATGGACTAACGATTGATCTGTAAATGACGATTGATCAGAGGTGATTTGATAACGAGCAAACTGATTTTTTGGATCGATTAAGTTGTTGTTGTTGGTTGTTGTTGTTGAGGCTGATGACTGCTTTATTATTTCATATTGCATATTATTGTCTTGATTACTAACGATAATATTGCTGTTATAATTATTAATATTATCACTATTATTATTATTATTATTATTATTATTATTAAGAATAATTAAT